TTGTTTTTGTTTGTTGTTTTGTTGAACCTTTGAATCTTTTATTAATAAATTTTTTACGCTCTTCAACTATTTTTATATACTTTTTTATTATGCCAAAAAGGGGGAGAAAATGAGTATTTTGATCTAATCTCTGATTAACAGTTATGGGACTAAGTCTCAAACATTCTAACAAAATACAAGATTTCTTTCTCCGTGTAAAAGAATTTTGTAGGTATCAGTTAAACTCTGGAAGTTTAATTCAAATGAACATTATCTTCAAAAGAACTGATGAAGTAATCCCAGAAGAAAATTTCAATGCTCTGATGAAAATTCTCAGGAAGTTTTTCTTATAGAAATATTTATTTCAAGGCAGATTCCTATCTCTTATTAAATTTTATTTCTTATCTGAATATTTTTTTTGTCATCATCAAAAAGGGGGAGATTGTTAGAACAAGATTGGTTCTGATCATATCTCAGAGTTTTGATGATAACAATAAATTATATTTTATATAATTGATACTCTGATGAATGTATTTAATTGTTTCAGATAATGTTCTGATAGGAGCATTTTGATGTGCTGAGCTGAAAATAAATGAAGAAGTTCTTTGATGAAAGAACTATTTGTTTTAGTGCAAGTGCTGATGCTGACTCTGGTAAGACAATTATTTAAATACATCTTCTAACACTTAGCAAGTTTCTGTGTAAGCTATGTTTCAGAAGTTCTTAGAAAGCAAGCGCTGATCAGAAGTACTTAGCAAGCAAGCGTTATTTAGAAGATATGCAAGCATGTTTTGATTTAAGATGTGAAGCTAGTTCTGAAAGAATATAGAAGCTAACAAGTCTTGTCAAGCTTCAGGAAACATGCTCTTACAAGTGTTGTTTGCTCATTTAATGCAAAGACGGCTACATGCACTCAAGTGTCTACGCTATTTCATTAGAAAATGGAATAGTGCAAGGAACCACGCAAACATTTAATGCTCTCCATATTTGAAGGCAGCAACGGTCATTTTGTTCTTACTATATATAAAAGAACATTTATTGCAAGCTAAGAACTTGGAGAACTCAAAAAATTCAAAAGAAGTAAGAACTACGTGAAAATATTCTGGGCTCACAAATAATTTTCATACACTTTGTGCAATAATATTCTTAGTGAAAAATCACAGTTGTGATATAGCTTTCTTAGAAGCAAACTTTGTTTCGCTATCTGTAAAGATTTAACTCTTGTAATTGTTCCTTGAGAGACTAAGTTTGGTCAGATTTCTCAAGTAGACTAGGACTAGTTTAAGTATTAGTGGTGTGAGTCACTTGTAAGATTACTTGTGCATTGTTAGTCACAATAGTTGTTGTGTGATTGTAATCAGTTGATTATAGTGAATTAAGTCCTTGTTGAGAAAGGTGAAATCACCTTGGCGGGTGGACTGGAGTAGTTTAAGTTCAAACGAACCAGGATAAAAATAACCTTGTCCTTCCATTATTGTTGAGCCTTTAAGAAAAATAAAAAGAGAAACTTATTCAACCCCCCCCCCCCCCCCTCTAAGTGTTTTCTCACCCTTCAGTGTGTGTAAGCGATTTATTATGTGAGAAAATCGTTTTTGCATGTCCGCAATGGTTTCACCATGCTTCATGTGAAATAGATCAAACTCTTGAGTTAATGTGTTAATATTTGCTAATTTGACATTGTGTGTACCCTCATGGGTAACTTGTAAGGCATTCCACATTGACTTAGCGGTAGCACAATGTGAGATACGAAAGTATTCATCAACTCCAAGAGCTGATATGAGCATATTTTTAGCTTTCCAGTCATAAGCATAGTTTTTCTCATCTTTATCATCCCATTGTGCTTTCGGTTTAGGCACAACGACGCCCGCATTAGTTAACATAGTTATGGCCATAAGACCTTCTTCTATGACTTTCCAAATTTTTCTATCAACAGAATTGATATGCACACCCATACAATCTTTCCAATAGTTATAGTTTTCACCGGTGAAAATAAGCGCTCTATTGTACGCCCCTTTTGGATCGTTGTCCATTGTCTAAAGAGTTATATGTGAAGCACTAGATGAACAGGTGCTCTGATACCACTTGTTAGACGATAATACGTATCTAGAAAGGGGTTTGAATAAATACCGTGATTTTTAAAAAGAGTTTTTAATGAAAACTTAAAACGCAATGAAAGCTATCCGGATACACTCATCTAAAAACGACCCTCTATTGAAAAGACCAGATATGCGTAAAATCGAATGGAATGAATCATTGAGAATTATTAACACTTAATTCAATTATAATTGATCACTTATACTCTTTAACTACTGTTAATTACTTCCAATGAATTATTGTTAATTGATCTTAATTTGTAGTGTTAATACCAATTATAGCAATCAAAGTGATTACTATAGTCCTTAGCAATAGTTATACCACACTATAAATTTAGACAATTGGAACCACTAGTGAAAATTCACAAATTATAGCAAATAAACGGTAAAAGACGAGAAATAAAAATGACACGCGATTTGTTTAGGCAGTTCCCCCTGTCGTCCTCGCGTGGGGTACTTTGCCCCTAATTCTAGAATGTAGAATTAGGATAATTGCTATTATGATTGCAAAGTTTGTACAAGAGATAGAAAATAGTCACCACAACTCAAACCCAATATGTTGAATTGAAAACTAAGCTCCTCTTTTCCCTTGATTCGATTTGAACTAAGTATGTCACCAATCTTCGATAAACCTCTGGTTTTAGCTACCTTGTTGAGAACCCAAACCGTTTCTCAAACCCTCTGCTCGACTGATTTAATCGCAAGATGGTGACCCCAATTCTTCCTTAACAATCCTCCGATTGTGGCTACCTTATCGAGTGAACCCACAATTCCCCAATCCCTTAAGCACAGCTGAATTTGAAGTAAAGAATTGTCAAAAAACCCCAAATCCCAATAATATTAGAGGACAAAATCCTTAGATTTTATTCAAGAAAAAATCATAATTACTCAACCCGAACAAGATCGCAATCTTCAACTTCAGACGTTATCAACACACGCTCTGCACCTTGATCGACAAAAATTATTATGTGTAGTTGTCAATGGATGAGTGAGAGGTTGAAGATGATGAGTACCTTGTGTATCTATTTCACTTTTCTTGTTGAAAACCAAATTGTAGGACCTTACAAGATTATATATGTTATCTCAAGTCAAAACCCAAACTGTCAAGCTGAAAAATAGATCTAATGAGCGAACGGTCGACCTATGCCAAAAGGAGACTCGACCTGAGCATTCCCGAGAGTTCCAGAAGACAAAGTGCATGATTCATGCGTCGATCGCTCCAGGGATGTACGTCAACGCATAGTTTCTAAAAATTACTTCCAGGTTGAGTCGACCATACAGTCGACGTGAGCAAACCCAAGAGTTCCTCAAGGTGCAACTTTCAATCCATGTGTCGATTGCTCCAGGGCTATGCGTCGACACATAGTTCCTAAAAATTACTCCCAGGTTGAGTCGACCACACAATCGACGTGAGCAAACTCGATACTTTCCCAAGGAGAAACTTTCAATCATGCATCGACCGGAGCTCTCTTTGAGTTGACTCAAAGCATAGCGATTCCCAAAAATACCAAATTTAGAAGACTTTTCATGCTTCCTTGTCCACCATATCATCTAGCCATATTTCTAACATCATTGAAACCCTTATTGAAGGAACCTTTCTCTCACACTCTTTTTCTATGCCTTCTCCCATAGGGTCACGTTATAAATTTCATGCATCGTAGTGAATTAGATCATGATCACTAGAATTACACTATTAAAGATAAATTGTTATAGGTATAATTCACACACTTATCCTAGCATGTTACTCATATTTGTTAAAACCACTTAGTCAACTTTCTCACTTTATTCTCAGTTATTATTATTTACTTGCAATTCAAACCAAAACATTAGTTTTTGTTTAATTGAACATAAATTCAAACTCGATATTTATACGCAGTCTTTGAGATCGACATTCGGGAAACTTTTCTCGTTATTATTACAGAGACAAAATAATACACTTGTTATTTTTTCGATTAAGTCTTTATTTCGTATAATGTATTTTTTAGATGTATATTATACGGGGTATTACAATTGGTATCAGAGCAGGTCGACTATCGATCCAACTCTGAAACACCATAAGTAAATAAATCCCTACCTCATATGTGTGTTTTGCCAACTTGATTTTTCATGTCACGGTGTATAATAATGGGCCTGATCAACCTAATTCTATATGCATGGCAGGAGGGAGAGACATTAAGTTTTTAGTTTTAACAAGAAGGAGAACCTAATTCTATATGCATGTGTCAGATAGGTTTGAAGGTCATGCGTTTGTTGGTCGTCTAAGTTTAGATGAGCGATAACATATTGTTAATTTGACAAAGCGCGTATTTTACTCAGACACATATTATTTTTTAAGTCTTACCAAACATACCCTGATACACAAATTTTCTTCTAATTCTCCCAACCTACAACACAGGACCAAATGACTTCAAAATGATATGAAAATAAAAAGATATTTTTAAAAACTCATAATAGAATTTAAACAAGGATATAATGGTCAATTTGTATAAATTGTAAGGTGTGGGATAAATTTGTCTCAAAATTGGTATTGAAAGAGATATATAAAATGGTAAACAGCAACATCAAGTGGAACATATTCGAAAATGGGATCGCGGCGGCTGGGTCTGGGGAAGAAATGAAGACATCCATTTCGAAATCAACGTAGGTAACTGCAAATCGTTTCACTTCTCTCCTCTCATTCCCAATCCTTGTTGCAATCTCTTTACTCTTCATTCCATTTTGCTCCATCTGCATATCAATCCCAAGATAATTGTTGCAATATGTTTCCTTGTCTTCATTCGATTTTGCTTCTCGTGCATGTCAATCACAAAAACTTTGCTCTTCAACAACCACAAATCCTTTTAGTATTGATGCTTCTGTGTTTACTTTTTCAATTTTACAGATTCGGAGAAAGGGAAACAATAATCTTTGTAAGCAGGACCAGTAACAATGGTAAGAGTTGTAACTAGAAGCCACAAGTGCAGCAGCAGTTACAATGATGATTCAGAGTCTTCAAAGGTGTTGCTTAATCAAGACATGATGCTTCCTATACTTACTTTGCTTCCTCTCAACTGTTTGCTCAACTCTGCAAGGTATGTTTGCAAACCATGGGCAAATACTATTCGCACTTCCCATTTTGCTCAAGCATGCCTACAACATTCTAAACCCGGTTTTTATGTTGAAAATTGTGACTCTGAAACTACTTCTTATTACTTGGATATCAAAAATTATGTGAATGGTCACTTTGAATTTGAAAGGACTGATTTGGGAACACCTTCAAAAGTCTGTAGGATTGTAGATAGCTGTAATGGCATATTGTTCATGCTTCGTTGGAGTTGGTTTGCTCCTGCAAAAACACAAACTTTCCTCGTGAACCCCTTAATCAAGTCTCGGCTTAAACTTCCTCGTCTACCCTATTCACATCATTATCGCACACACCCTGCAGTTCAATTTACTATAGTTTGTCTTCCTCACACTGCCAAATTCAAGCTCTTCTTCATAGACATCCTAGAGGTTTCTGGTGCTCTTTATTATGTTTTCTATGTGCTAAGACTTGGAATAGATAACTCATGGAAAGAGATACTAAGAAAAGAAGCTCCTAAAGACTGGGATACTATTTGGAAACCACTTTTTGATGGAGGCTATCATCTTTACTGGATATCTACACAGCATGGAGTGACTGTTTTGGATGTTGACAAGGAAATTACAGTTGGAAAATTTTCACTCCCCCCTTTGCCCGCCGTGGATCCTTATCGTTCTACAACATTCTTATGGAGGGGAAATCAACTTACTTGCATTGTCAGTATTGTTCTTCATGAAACATATCAAATCTCCATTTTGGATTTTGATTCTGGAAAATGGTCTCTTTATCATGAAATGGGACCGTTTGATTTTGTGGCTGCTTGCGGTCGTGAACTTATTATTAATTTTCTTCTATTTCGTTACTGGATCCACGATCAAATCATTTTTCGAGTAGCTAGTTCGCCAGAGATTTTTCCTAGAGGCCGTTACAGCATCCATTTTAGTTACAATGTCAATACTAGACAAGTCACAAAGATTGAGGGCATTGATATGGGCAATCATGAGGTATGGCTTCACACCAACAGCCTATTTTCGTTGCCAAGTACTCCAACATAGTTAGGTTTCTTCGAATAGTATATATCCGGTGGTAATCTTTATATTTATCTTTGTTGGCAGAACAAGTATTTATTATGTTTCTAGTTAGTTATGTATGTTGGCCGTGGCTAAACAAAAGATGAATTTTTAAGATGTTTATTTTTATTTTGTTTATCAACTATTCTGTTTAATGATGACTTAAGTCTTGCGACAAATCTTGTGTTCTCTATTTCTTATATTTATATTATTTACTCTCGCTCTTTCCTTGTAAGTTGCAATGGAAGACATCTTTATCATTTGGAATAAGATGGAATGCTGTAACATTTACACTCTTTCCCATAGAGGGTGAATATTTCACATTAAAGATTTCATGTTGGAAAATTTTCCCTTTCATGTTCATTGTACCTAACGTGGTGGTGAAGCTACATATCATGATCCTGCGTTCCTGTTTCAATTTATTGTTTGTGTTTTATTTTATTAATCTAATCAGCTAGTGATGTATCCAATTATCAACCTTAGAAAATACAAGACAGATCTTCATTGGTTGGTATCTCAGAAAGTTGTTGTTTGTTCTGTCTTCAACCTTTTCAATTCACGCTTCTCCTTGGGTGGAAGGTTTAACTGGTGTTTGGGTTGGTAAATAAATCTCTACAAACGAAAAGTAGCGACTTTTGTGAGCTGATAAAAGCCAAGTTTTTGTTATTCTTCAATCAATATACCCATCAAGCAGCATTAAGATCTTAAATCAATTTGAAATCAAACAGATAAATATCTCTCAAATGCAAATTGAGCAAAACAGCCAACTAGAAGGGAGCTATACTGGCCATGCGAACCACTGACTGGGTCACATACAAGAGAACTGTTGTGAGGAAATCAGAGGTTATGTATCCTTTGAGGTCAGTGATGAGATCCCGCATTTTAGAGTTGTACTGCAAATATGGAGACCCCGCATTTTAGAGTTGTACTGCAAATATGGCCTTTGGACATGATCTGCCACCCGCAAAAATGTTGCAAGTTCTATGTAGAACAATTCCTCAGAAGTGATTGAAATTACAATATCTGCATTTTATTGGTAATAGAAATGTGTATAAGAGATACTTCTCCCTTGCGATTAAGATTCACTATCTAACCAATGGTTTTTTTTAAATAAAAATTGGTATCCAACCCTGCGACCAATTAATTCAAAGAAATCAATCTCACAGTCTATTTGTCTATTTGCAGTACCTCATTTAAAGTCAGAGTTAAGTTCTCTATGGATTTGACCCAACAAAGAACCTTTAGAAGAAAGCGTTCAAGATTGACCAATTAAGTCATAGGAATTTTCAAGCCAATGATTAATTTGGCATTAACATCAACAATTTTTTTTAACAATGTATTACTATAGTATAGACGAAAAAGAACAGCAATATATATAAACACATTTGAAAAAGAAGGATATATTCCGATAATCATTTCCACAGTTTTACTTTCTATAACACAAATTATCTATTATCATCCAATTTCAAGCAGAAGATAGTAACAAAATAGAGTATAGAGTTCTATCATAAATAACTTTTAAAATCAAATCATTAAAAGTTATACAACAAAGGCTTTAATTTTAAGCCTCTGTATATGTTAATAAGAATTCAATTTATATGCAGTGAACTAATTCCAAAACCTATGAAGGACTAGAGATGTAGCAAAATCTAAGTAAAGTATTTTATTGTTTCAGATAATGTTCTGACAGAAGCATTTTGATGTGCTGAGCTGAAAATAAATGAAGAAGTTCTTTGATGAAAGAACTATTTTTTTTAGCGCAAGTGCTGATGCTGACTCTGGTAAGATGATTATTTAAATATATCTTCTAACGCTTAGCAAGTTTATGTGTAAGATATGTTTTAGAAGTTCTTAGAAAGCAAGCGTTGATCAGAAGTACTTAGCAAGCAAGCGTTGTTTAGAAGATATGCAAGCATGTTATGATTCAAGATGTGAAGCTAGTTCTGAAAGAATATAGAAGCTAACAAGTCTTGTCAAGCTTCAGGAAACATGCTCTTTTAAGTGTTGTTTGCTCCTTTAATGCAAAGACGGCTACATGCACTCAAGTGTCTACGCTAGTTCATTGGAAAATGGAATAGTGCAATGAAACACGCAAACATTTAATGCTTTCCACATTGAAGGCAACAATGGTCATTTTGTTCTTACTATATATAGAAGAACATTTATTGCAAGCTAATAACTTAGAGAACTCAAAAAATTCAAAAGAAGCAAGAACTACGTGAAAATATTCTGGGCTCACAAATAATTTTCATACACTTTGTGCAATAATATTCTTAGTGAAAAATCACAGTTGTGATATAGCTTTCTTAGAAGCAAACTTTGTTTCACTATCTGTAAAGATTTAACTCTTGTAATTGTTCCTTGAGAGACCAAGTTTGGTCAGATTTCTCAAGTAGACTAGGGCTAGTTTAAGTCTTAGTGGTGTGAGTCACTTGTAAGATTAATTGTGCATTGTTAGTCCCCGACAGTTGTTGTGTGATTGTAATTAGTTGATTATAGTGAATTAAGTCCTTGTTTAGAAAGGAGAAATCACCTTGGCGGGTGGACTGGAGTAGTTTGAGTTCAAACGAACCAGGATAAAAATAACCTTGTCCTTCCATTATTGTTGAGCCTTTAAGAAAAAGAAAAAGTGAAACTTATTCAACCCCCCCCCCCCCCCTTATAAGTGTTTTATCACCCTTCAATTGGTATCAGAGCTTAACTCTGAGCGCAACACTTAACCGTGTCAGGAAAAGATCCAGAAGAAAACACAAATGCCTACTGAACAAAACAACAATAGCTACAACAAACCTCCTGTATTTGATGGAGAATATTTTGAATATTGGAAAGATAGACTAGAAAGTTTCTTTCTAGGTCATGATAGTGATTTATGGGATATAGTCTTGTATGGTTACACACATCCTATAGACTCAGAAGGAAACAAGATTGATAGGAAAAATATGGATAGACAACAAAAAGCTGATTTCAAAAATCATCATAGAGCTAGAAATATTTTTCTAAATGCTATCTCTAAAATGGAATATGAAAAAATCACAAATAGAGATACAGTGCATGATATGTTTGAGTCTCCTAAAATGACTCATGAAGGAAACGCTCAAGTGAAGGAGTCTAAAGCTCTGGCTCTCGTCCAAAAGTATGAAGCCTTCAAAGTAGAAGAAAGTGAATCTGTAGAAGCAATGTTCTCAAGGTTTCAAACTCTGATCACTGGTCTGAGAGTTTTGAACAAGGGATACACTAAAGAAGACCACGTTAAAAAGATCATCAAAAGCTTACCCAGAAGATGGGCACCTATTGTCACTGCTTTCAAAGTATCAAAAGATCTGAACAACGTGTCTCTTGAAGAACTCATCAGCGCTCTCAGAAGTCATGCGATAGAACTTGATGAGCACGAGTCTCAGAAGAAAGGTAAGTCTCTTGCCCTTAAATCAATTAAGAAATATGATACTAATGCTTTTCAGGCTGAAGAGGAAAACTCTGAAGAATCTGCGTCAGAAGAAGACGAACTATCCTTGCTCTCCAGAGGGATCAATCAGCTGTGGAAGCACAGACAGAAGAAGTTCAGGAACTTCAAGAAGTCAGAAGATAAACCAGAATCTTCTGGACACAAAAAGTCAAACAGAAGAGAGATAATCTGTTATGAATGCAAAGAACCTGGACACTACAAGAGTGATTGTCCAAAACTCCAAAGAGAAAAACCAAAGAAAAGTTTGGTAAAAAGAAAGGGATGATGGAAACCTGGGACGATTCAGAATCCTCTGAAGATGAATCTGATTCTGAAGATGAGAATGCCAACCTAGCTCTGATGGCTACCACAACAGATGAGTCAGACTGTGAGTCAGATCCAAAAGAGGTATTCTCTGAATTTTCTAGAGATGAACTTGCTGAAAGTTTATCAGAACTTCTGGAAAACTATTGTAAGCTCAAAATCAAATACAAGAAACTCAAGAAGAGTCTTGCATCTGATCTTGAGAAACATGAAACAGAAAAATCTGAACTCAAAGAAAATAATTTTAAACTTAAAGAAGAAATTCAAAATGTTCAAAAAATTTCTAGTTCAGATTATGTGTCAAGTTCAAAAGATATTATGAAAGAATATGACTGTAGATTTCAAACTTTTATTGCTAAAAGCATAGATAAAAGCAAAATGGCTTCAATGATCTATGGAGTTAGTGGGAACAACAGAAGAGGAATTGGATATGAACCTCCAAAAGGAAAGGAGACATATATACCAAAACCTGTTGCTAACATGACTTTCACTTACAAACCTCTGAACAAACAATTTAAGTTTGGACACACACATGATATTAAATATACATCACATTCTGGAAACTCTTATGCTAACCCAAAGTTCAAACAGAACTTGAAATACTCTAACCCAAGAGGACCCAAAAAGATATGGGTACCTAAGGATAAAATAATATTTGTTGCAGATGTCCTTAACAGCTCAATTGAGACACCAGTCATAGTACCTGGACTTTGGGTGCTCACGATACATGATGGGAAAAAAGTCTATGTTCCAAAACCTGAAATTTAAAGTTGGAGGAGACGTCAAGTTTGGAGGTAATCAGAAAGGGAATATTATTGGTTCTGGAACCATTGGAAATGGTAACCTTCCTTCTATCTCTAATGTTTTATTATTAGAAGGATTAGCGCATAACCTGTTGTCCATAAGTCAATTAAGTGACAACGGTTATGACATTATATTTGATCAAAATTCTTGTAGAGCTGTTAGTCAAAAAGATGGAACAGTCCTCTTTTCTGGCAAGAGAAAGAACAACATATACAAAATTGATTTATCAGATCTTAAATCTCAGAATATTAAATGCCTTTTGTCTGTTAGCGATGAACAATGGGTATGGCACAGAAGATTGGGACATGTCAGATTAAGAAAAATCTCTCAACTAAATAAATTTAATTTAGTCAGAGGACTTCCCAATATGAAGTACAACTCAAAAGCTTTGTGTGAAGCATGTCAAAAAGGAAAA